AGGGGAGTGCCCCTGGAAGGTTGGGGACCTGGCCTGGCTCCATTGCCCGCAGGTGCGGCCGGGTACCTCTCCCAAATTTCACAAACCTTGGCGAGGGCCTGTCCGCCTCATTGAGGTTCCTAATCCTCAGTCGGCGCGTGTTCAAATTGGTTCTCGCCGCTGGTTTGTTCACACGTCGCGCTTGAAACCGTATGTTGCTCCCCTACATGATGCATCATCTCCCAATGTTGCCTTGCCGGGGTCTGTTGCTGCCGACTCTCCCCCGCCTGCGTCCATTGATCTTGCTAGAGCGCCTGTCGTACCTGTTCCAGGCAGGCCGGCCTTGACGCCGGAGGGGACGAGGCGCTCTGCTCGGAGGGTGCCTGCCAGATCTGCGGGTCCTTCGAGCCCTGCAGCCCTTCCGACCCCGCTGCAGACGCATCCGCGGGACAAGCCCAAGACTGATCCTTCAAGGACACGGGACGTTGGTGGACTTCCAACAGCGACAGGGGGATTTCACCCTGTCGCTCCTCAAACTCAATCACGTTCCCGTTCCGCGGATGGGCCGCCGACCGTCCGGGACGGGCCGGCGACCCGCACACGCTCTAAATCCCTTGTGTTTCGTTGATTGTTATGTTGTATTGTTCTTACTGTGTATTTATTGCCTGCTTCTGCTACGTTATTGATTGTTGAGTTGTGTTGATTGTTCTTACTGTTATATTGCATGCTTGGTGTCCTTTGGTGTGTTACGCTCGGGTTCGCCCGCATTACTGTTGGTGTTGTTCAGCCGAGGTCGGCTGGGTTTTTCTCCACGGGGGAGGGTGGTGTAATGCGGGCGCGGGCGACCTCCCGGATGTGACGTCACGGAGAGGTGGAGTTAGGTGACGTGGGAGGAAAGGTTAAGGTTCTTAAGGGAGGAGACCGGAAGAGGAAGGCAGAACGAGTGGGACTGGACCAGAGTAAGGCCACGTGGGCAAAGCCAAGGGGTGGCAGCGGCGGCCAGCGGTGGCCAGCTAAGGGAGCAGCCAGCGGAGCTGCGAGAGAAGACAGCGGTGGGGCGGCTGGAGAGAAGGCGGACGAGGAGCTGCGGGGAACACAGCCGGCGAGGCTGTGTGTGAGGGAGAGGCTACGAGAGCGACGAGAGGAGAGAGAGGCTGAGAGAACGACGAGGGGAGAAACTGCAGGAGAGCAGTATCAGTGTCAGTATAGAGTCTTATAGAAGGACAGCCGTGCGGGTTAAGAGAGAAGAACCGAATAAAGGACACCAAGCCAGACATCGTGGTCGAGTCCTTTATTACAAATGTATAATTTTGAGCGTGTTGAATGTTTTATCGGTATATTGTCCTCCCAAATAAATGTGTTAAGATTGAAGAACTCAGGTGACCTCTACTTTGAGTTTTGGTGAATCAATGTGTAAGTTGTGGTGGAAATTTAATTATAGCATGAAAGGGCTTTTGAGACAGTTGAGGACAGTTGTTCATTTATTGATCCAGGATTTTTAAAAGTGGTTTTGAAACATTGTTTTAAATAGTTTAAACATTGCTGCCATGTTTTAACCGTCAATTGAACATTATTAAAAATTTCCAAATCATTAATCTCTAGCTTTTAAAAAAAAATTGGGATTTTTTAATCATAAATATTAATATTGTTTTTTTTTGTCCTGATCCAACATCATCTTATCTGAAAAGATGACTCGCGAAAGTTCCACTCCAACGGGGACGTCATCGCTGTGTGCCAAGTGTTTTTCCAGCCATGGATTGGCTCATTGCCGTCTTCTACTGTTGAGCAGGATTGAGTCAGCTTTATTTTACATTGGCAAGTATTGAAATCCTCGTGGTGCAGTAAAGTCCTCCATTGTATGCACATTTAAACCTTTGAATGAACGTCTGTGCACAGTATTCAAGCCATGTAAACCACTTGTATTTTCCACGCATATTGTAATAACACTACCACACACTTCTATCCAGGATAAATACAGCATTAGAGGCGTGTAAACATAGATCCATTCTCCAAATAAAATATGATGCAGTATCCAGTGCAATTTAGATGTGTATAACATGTGCCACCTTATCTCATACACCTCCCATGAAGTAATCATCACTGCAAATGCATAAATATTAATGCCCTTTAAACTATTAGTTATAACCAAATGGGCAAGGCGAAGTATGCGCACTCAGACGCATAATGATATCACTCCAAAAGTATCTAGCACTTTTATTTATAAACTTTTGGCGCGTTATCGAAGAGTGCTCTGCACTGCATCCAAGAAAAGGCCGATATGTGATGTGCCATGACTTTTTACAAAAACTCGGCACTGTACTGTATCTCCAACAAGCATGTACATGTAGTGGAACTTGAGTGGCACTGTGAAATCCCACACGCTTGGACATGACATCATTTCATTGTTGCCAGAATGTGTCATTCGTCACCAGAGCTAAGTTTGTCTCCTTCCATTTATGGAATTGGAGAAGCGGATATTATTTGGTCTTGGGATTCTAAACACTGTACTGCTGTATAAACGCATGAGCTATTTAGATTAACACAATACACAGCCCGTGTATCAATCAGGGCCTTGCTCTTGTGTTGACCATACTTAACCCCCACCACACACACGCTAGTCCGTGTGGGTTAGTTAAGGCGGGGAGCATCGATGTGGATTTTAATCTTGACCTAAAGCTTTCGTGACTGCAGGAATTCATATTCTTTGGGTCTTTCGGTAAAGTCACTTAGATAAGTTTAAAGAAAATAACAAAAAATTACGACATTTCGATCTCAACACAAGTGCTCGTCATCAGGAAAAGGGGGTTAGCCTCTAAAGGCAAACTGATTATAAAGGTTTAAAACATTAACCCGTAAAAACAAAGTTTTTCACTATAAATCCTTTATATGCGTGGCGGCGAGAGTCCTCTCGTCCTCTGGCTTGAGATGGCTGCCACCTATGGGTCAGATGATTGCCTGCCACCATTATGCAACTGGTAATTAAATATAATTTATTTTTTCCTAAAAAGTGTACAATTTTTGAAAAAAAAATTCACGAACATTAATTGTCACGCACAACGAGTCTGTGTGCAAAATGTCAGCTCGATTGGATCACGGGAAGTGGGTTAAAAAACGACCGAAAGATTTTCACGGTCGTAAGCGCGCAAGCAAGTGAACTTAATATAAAGGATTAAACAAGTATAACCCGTAAAAACAAAGTTTTTCACTCTAAATCCTTTATATGCGTGGCGGCTAGAATCCTCTCGTCCTCTGGCTTGAGATGGCTGCCACCTATGGGTCAGATGATTGTCTGCCAGTATTAAACAATTGGTAATTAAATATTTAATTTGTTTTCCCTAAACAGTGTAAAATTTTGGAAAAAACTTTTCACGAACATTAATTGTCTCGCACAACGAGTCTGTGTGCAAAATGTCAGCTCGATTGGATCACGGGAAGTGGGTTAAAAAACGACCGAAAGATTTGCACGGTCGTAAGCAAGCAAGCAAGTGAACTTAATATAAAGGATAAAAAATTGTCGCAGCCCAAGTGTCAGCAACATGGGTGAGGTAGCTAATGTTAATGTAAGGGAAGTTGCTGCTGGAGGTGATGGGAGTTGTTGGTAGTGATGGTGCTGGTGGTGGGCTTCTACCAATAAAGGGAGTCCAGGTCTTAAATGGAAACATTACAGCCAGTTATGGGTTCAACTGGTTGATAACGTCCTTCCAGTGATTGCTGAGTTTGTACCCATCTTCTCAGTTGAAATTGTGTCTGTATATATGGATGGCTTCATGAATTAATATTTGTTGATAGCCAGTGGGTTTGCAAAGTACCTTCGTCTTAGAGAAATCAATTTCGTGTAAGCCAACCGCATTAAAACAATGATCAGCCACGGCCGATGTATTGGTCCTCCCGTGTTTCAGATCTGCCTTATGTTCACGAACACGGTCCGAGACATGTCGCTTAGTTTCCACAATGTAACGATTGCTGCAGACACAGCTTAGTTTGTAGATGCCGGTTATTACATGTCAAGGATCACATCCTTGAAACAATTTTGGTGACCCCTGCTATATATGGCAAGGTGATGGTTTTGATTGGGTCCTCAGATGGTTATTTTCAAACAGTTGGGGTGATAGCTTTAGGGATTGTGTAGTATGAATATCCATTCGTCTTGAGAGCTTGGTGTACATGTTCCAGTTCCACTGGCTAGGTGATGATGGTCGGAAATACATGGTTATAGGGCAAATGTTTTGGTCCGTTTTGTAAGATATATGCGTGCTATTTATTGTACGTATGCATTGTGTCCTGTAGCACATGCATGGGTTTGATGGCCTAGTTTAAATGTAATAAAGCCACTTGCAGTACTTCTACCACACCAGGTTACTGTGATACCTATAGCTGTCAACCCATACGGGTTACCCCCGTATTCTTGTACAGGGAAATTGAGTTTTCAGGTCAAATATGCGCTTCAAAACGGACACATGTGTTGTCTATTTGTGTTCTTTCCCTTGTGATTGAGACTTTGTAGGATGAACGTTGAGATGTATAAGGGCACGTGGTGACCAATAAGGTCTGAATTGGTCGGTAATAAGTTAGGCACTTATCAGGGGTTGACAGGTATTGATACCTAATATGTGATTATGAGATTTTAAATGGTTGTTCGCCTAACCCCGCACCTCTGATTAGCACTATTGGCTACGTATGGCGTACCAGTCCAACGTACGTTCACCCAACACTTCTACCAATCAGGCTTCATCGTTCACTGTATTAGTGAACAAAACGCTAATTGTATTATAATTTATGTTAATGCTACACTAAACAACGCCGCATAAATTATGCTAATCATATGCAAAGCTGCCATTTTGATCCCTTCGAACTTTTTTTTTCCCCTCCGCGATGAGGAACAACAACGACGTCGCCCATTGGCCCGCACCGCCGTCTCAGCCGTGACGTGCTCCGTAGCGCGCCTTCTGATTGGCTGTACGGGGGTCGTGAAGGTGGGGGGGGTGATTTCTTTGGGCGGTGATTTTGCCGGGATCCATCCGCGTCGCCGCTTTGCTTCTCTCCCGGCCTCGCCCCTCATCCGCCGCCGGGTCCGTGGTAGTTCCTCTCTCTCTCTCTCTCGCTGGCCCGTCAACTCAATTAGAACCCCCACACCTCCCGCAAAGCTTTCATTTAACTCTCCGACCCGCTTGTTTTGGCGGTCAACTAAGCCAACGTTTCACTCCTCTTGATTTTCCTTCGGTGGTGGCACTGGCTGGCTGAGGCCTTCTCTGTAAGGCCTTGCGGGGGGGGTGGTGGTGGTGGGCCGCAACACGGGGCCGGGTCCTTTGAGTTATAAACATCAAGTCACCGTCAACAGCAAACAGCAGCAGCAACATCATCATCATCTTCGGCGGAGAGTCAACGTTTAACAGCAGCCACGTACGAGCTGCTTGTTGTCGGCGTTGGCCAAGTGTGGGGTTGTGATTAAGACGAGAGTCGAGATGGCGGACCCCGCCGAGTGCAGCATCAAGGTGATGTGCCGCTTCCGCCCCCTCAGCGACGCCGAGCAGGGCCGAGGCGACAAGTTTCTACCAAAGTTCTCGGCGGAAGACAACGTGGTGTTGGGGGTAAGCGATGTCATTGTGGCCTTTTCGTTGGTTGGCGGCGGCGAACGCAAACAACAACAACACCACCACCACCACACCCCGCCATAGCGATGGAGGCGATGGCTCCCGGCCGTGGGAATGTGGAATGGCACCAGCGCTGCCAGCAGAGATGAGCGGCCGTGCCTTTGAGGTTTTGTTTGTTAAAGCCTGGTTGGTACAAGTGTTGGGTGAATATACGTACACGTTGGACTTCTTTCGCGCCGTACGTAGCCTATGGTGCTAATCGGAGGTGCGGGGTGATAGCGCGTATTAGGTAGTCCATACCTGTCAACCCTTTATAAGTGCCTACCCTATTACCAGACTATTCAGACCTTATTCTTTGGGTCTTTCGGTAAAGCCACGTAGATATGGTTGAAAGGAAATGACAAAAAAAACTACGACGTTAAGATCACAACACAAGCGATCGTCCTCCTGATGAGAATTCCTGCAGTCACGAAATCTTTAAGTCAAGATTTAATTCAGACCTTATTGGTCACCCCGTGCCCTTATAAACCTCAATAGTGGCACTTTGTACGGGTTGAAAGACTTTGTCATCAACAGCGGAATGTAGAATGTACACCGTTAAGTAGATAACAGGTAGATAGATACATGAGTGTCTGTCTCTAAGGTGGTCGACCTAGGTCGAGACTTGTCATCACTAGGTTAGGGGCTGCCCAAACGAGACGATTGCCGCATCGATGCGCTTTTCTCTGGATTTGATTCGAGTGCCACTTTGTCGAAAATCAATTGAGCATCCATTGGAAAGATTGGCCGCCGCTGTGGGAATGTGGAATGGCCACCACCTGCTCAGTGTCTGGATAAACGTGAGTGATGATTGGCCTATACTTGAGCCGCCAGTCGAGGCTGCTACCCACCATGGGAATGTGGTCATTTCACCACCAAATAAACCATCCTGGCGATCTCCGTAGGATGACCAACATGGACTTACCACATAAATGGTATTCACCTTATACATCCACGTAGCCAGTGGTGGAAATTCATCATTCCCATGACAGGCGATAGTTCGCATGAGATGTTAACTTGCTGATTTATAAAAAAAAAATGCCACTTGACAATGGCACCTCTGCTTAGCTGTGTAAAAATTAACCAAATTGCCACTTGGCCATCCACTGGCAATGGCTGAGAGACACGTTGCTACGTGTTTGAGTCAAATCTACAGAACAATTGTTTGAATGCATGGCATTTTTTTTATACTGTATCAAGTTATGCCACATTTCCAAAGTTATATTGAGTTAAACTTATTTTTAGCCACCTCTACTCCATTAAGACGCCAAGCAGACATGGCCCTGCTCACCGCTGGGTTCGAATCCAGCGGGCTGCCCTGGTTATTACTGCGAATGTAATAAACGTATTAACACACCCCGTCTGCTTTACAACGGACTTTAGACCCCTGGTGTATTTATTTCTTTAATTTAGGCCATTGTGTGGTGTTTTCATGTTATAAATTTAACAAGTTGGAAACAATAATGTGAATAATTGGCGTTATGCATAACAATCATCGGCCCCTGCTGTTTGACTCATGCACTCGGGTCACTCTGACAATTGAGACTGTCCTGGGTCTCTTCGCACCGCGTTAAACTAAATAATTTTGAAGAGGATGATTGAAATCTAGTTGTTTAGAAATGGATTATTAAAGCTTCTAGCCTATTATTTCTTAACACCAACTGGTTGGCTTTATACGCTTAAGTTGCTCTCTAACCCTACGCTTTTGTACATATTGTAGGTACTGCAGTGTAAATAAATCATTGTGTGCTGGGCACTTGAATAGCGCAGTCTGTTATTTCCTCAGTTTTGGAGTGCGGTGGCAAGAGGAGGTGGGTTTTTGTCACTGATTTGCAATTGCACCCAGCCGATTGTAAAGTGACACCACAGATTTGTGGAGTCGCTGCTAACAGTTATTCTAACGCGCCACGAGCATGCCCGTCACTATTGCGCAGTTGTGCAAGAATGCAGAATATGGCTTGCAGAAAATTCTGCATTGCAGCTGGTTGTAAGATTTGGCAAAGCATTACTAGCTTGGATCGACTGCATATCGGGGGGCTTAGGGACGTTGCATAATTAACGTGGAATTTATGGGATACTAAGTCTACATCACTGTACCGCAGTGCTGCTTGGTGTCCTCGTCCTGGACGCCTGTGCAGTGTCCACTCCCTCCCTGTGTGTGGTTTTGTGTGTGGTCACTGGAACTGGAAAGACTGCTCCACTCCTATTGGGGAATCTACTACCTTCATTGTCGTGCAGGGATTACAGAGGATTTCTTTTTAATGAAAGGGTTGTATAGGCCTGGTGCTCATGCAATTTTCTGCTCGAGATCTCCGCACATTTATCGTTTGTTGTGTATTTATAGACGGTTTGAAGAATTTACGAATGTATTTTCACTGAAAGAAGATTTTATTCATTTTAAAATTGTATTGAATATATTAAAGTGTTTCAACCCTTGATTCGTATTTGTTTTTTGGTTGAGCCGCATCCTAAATTCGTGTCATTAACCCTCCACCACCTGACAAGATTGTCATATTTATGTTTAATACACTTGATTTTCCTCTGCATGTCTGTGATGTGTTATCATCATTGCACAGTTTTTAAGATCACTATTAAGAGCATGATATTACATGTTTTTATCTTACTGGATTATGTTAAAGTAATGGTTAGAGTAGATGACTTGCAATTTGAAGCTTCTGAGTTCATATCACAATCCAGGTTTTACTCAGCCCGTCTGTCTAGGGTAGTGGTACCTAACCGTTTGCTTGTCATGTGCCTCCTACCAGTCCAATCAACTGTCACGTACCCCTACCAGCCCTATGATTTACACGCTCACCTCAACAGTTTATACGATACTGAAATGAATTAAGTAATTAAAATTCACACTATTTGCATTTACACACAATTAACACCTAGGATATTTAGTTAAAATTTCATTTATTAAGAATGAACTAAATGTTTGCAGTTTCGTATTTACATTTTATTTTCACTTAAAATTCACTTTTGTACTTTAAAATTTAATCTGAGTGACTTGGCATCACCAAGAAGTAGAGGAAAGGCTGAGTTTCACTGGGTGTGGAAGGCTAGATAGACTTGATGTTCTTGAATTCACTTTGGATTTGTAAAACAAATATAAATATGATAAAACAAAGGGCTAAGAGCACTAGCAGCACATAGGACCCTGGCGTCTAAGTGCATGGGTGCACCGAATTTCATACCACAGATAAATAAACCGTTTTAGAATTGCTAGTGCATCACTGCTTTGTAACCCTACATAACCATACCCCATGTGATCACCGCCATTCTGTGAATTATCTCTCACTTCCTAGAGACGGGGGGCATTTGTACCACTGCTCTGCGGTCAATAAAATAACCACCGGAGCACCTGGCCCCACCATAAAAATGTAACATTTCCATCACGGACTCATGGCCGTCAACAAAGATCACTGTTTTTGTTTAAGAGGGGGAGACGTTTTGGCTTTTGATGTCTAATCTGATTTTTGTTTTTCAGGGGAAACCATATATATTTGATCGAGTTTTTCCTACAAACACCACACAAGAGCAAGTATACAATTGTTGTGCAAGACAGATTGTCAAAGGTCAGTGAAAGCAAAATGCGTGACTGGTTGTAGTGCACGTTAATGTGTCACACGGAATAATATGCAAATGTCTGCAGTAAATCATAGAGGGCAAACTCTAACTTTACACCTTCCTAGTGATCCTAACTTTCCTAAAGAATGAACACAATCTCTTGTAAAATCCTGATGCTAATAAAAAATGTTCTATCCCAAAGTACAGTATGCTGCATTGTACTAACCATTTATCTCTGTTCATTACAGATGTGCTTGAAGGGTACAATGGCACAATTTTTGCATATGGCCAGACTGCATCTGGGAAAACGCATACAATGGAGGTTGGTAATCAACGCAGTACATGTGTACTGCACTTGTAACTCATTTACGTGACATTAAGTCGATGGTTGAATTGTTACTCTTTCATATAATAATATTATTTTGTTGGGAATTGATATTGGTAAAAAAAAACGCATCTTCAAATTATGTTTCAAGCTTTAAATAATAACAGTTAATATGTATGTGGGGGATACTTAGCATTTTTTTAATTATAGACGTGTGGACTCTTTTCATGATCGGTTACCTATTGAGATGGCCCAAATACTGTATTCAAACACTTAACACCACATACTTCAAAGATGTGAACATTTGACAGATCCTTAGCATGAGCACTGTTGTTGATCACAAAACAAAATGAGATGAGTTAAGCTCTACATACTGGCATTAAAAAGGCTAATGGGTTGTTATGATTGTCTGTTTATGCTAAGCTTGTTATAGTTGTTGCGGCAGCCAGAGGGATAGAGCACATTTCAAATCCTGCAATAGAAAACAAGTCGACTATATGTAATGGACAATGGAATATATGGAAAATGAATATTGCTGTGCTTGGCAAGGCAAACCTGTGTAATGTGCTTTTACTTGAGTTGTTTGGCAAATAGACATTTTAAAGAGGAGTCTCAAATAAACGAAATATTTCAAGGATGCTGTTTTCACTAACTTGCACTCAGAAACAACTCAATACCTCTTAAAGTTGGAATATACAGTAAAACCTTGGATTTAGAGCATAATTCGTTCCAGAAACGTGTTTATAATCCAAAGCACTCGTATATCAAAGCACTCATATCAGTTGTGATCACGTGATGCTCGGCAGACAAAACGTTTACGTACTACTCGTATTGCAAGACCTCGCTCGTTTATCAAATTAATATTTATTTAAAAAATTGCTCGTCTTGCAAAACACTCGCAGACCAAGTTACTCGCAATCCAAGGTTTTACTGTATATTGATAGCACAGCTTCGTAGTGTACATATACATTTGTTATTCAGCAGATTTAAATGTTTTCGTTGGAGGGAATCTTTGAGTAACTGAAAGGAGTTACCAACGCATGGCCTGGGGCAGCAAACATACTTCGAGTGTTTTCATATGTTTATAAATATATAGATTGATGACGGCACTAACCAATTGCACTTATTTCCCCTCCCCTTCTAGGGCAAGCTGCACGATTCGGAATACATGGGCATCATACCACGGATAATACAGGACATTTTCAACTACATCTATTCAATGGATGAGAACCTTGAATTTCACATCAAGGTACATCTCCTTCCTGAGCTGCAAATGCATGCTCTTGCTTGAATTTAATGAAGCGATTTCATCTTGCCATGTTGCCTCTGTATTGATGCTCAGCACATATTGTGTGAGGTAGTGTGTGTGTTGTGTGTGGACAGTGGTTGTGCAACGGTTAGCTCCCAGCGCTATGAACCCAGCAATCTGAGCTCGATTCCTGCTCACGGCCAACACCAGTGATGACCATCTGAATCGGTCCTCCCCTAGGTCGACTCGGCCTCAAATTTGTACCTTGTGCGATGTATAAACATTTCCACGAGGGAGACAGGAAGCCGGGCATGGTGCTGGCCTCTTTCCCCTCATGTGCCATACCGGCCTTCATAGGTGCTCGCAAACTGCACTTTTCCAAAAGGTCTCTTAGGCTATATGGAGGATCTTTGTGCATATTATTGCATAGTAGTGTGAAAAAATAAGCATGTTTTATTACACCACTACAAAATTGAAGCACAAATATTCACAGAGCTACAGAGCATTGTAAGTAGTGTGTGCGTTGCATTCCTATACACACCATCACAGCTGAGAAGAATTATAACCCCCAGTCGAATGCAAATACACCAAATCTGGTCAGGAGCCCAAGTGGACAAAAATGCCCTGGATTGGTTACAATGTTTGCGACACGACAGATTGAACATTAGCATTCAATGATGTCTTCATTTATAATAATGCTATTGAATTAAACAATATTGAGATTAAAAACGTGAAAATAAATGTTGATGCAAAAATGTTCGTCCACATCTTCCAATCTGTCCCTGTCTGATATGCATTAGAAAATGTATGTTTTTTGATGATATGTGAATCCCGTGTTGCATTTTATTTCGTTTAAGGTTTCCTACTTTGAAATCTACCTTGACAAAATTAGGGACCTTTTGGATGGTAAGAATTAGTCATTTCTATTTCTATTATTTATGTTAGTTTTAATGTTATGTATTTAAGAATTAAAGTTTATGCATGTTTTTTCTTGTCAAATTGAATGTTTTGCTTATAGATAAGTTTGTACTGTTATAAATGATCAAGTTGAAGTGCATTTTTAGGTCTTAAGATTTTAAATAAACCTGAAAATCTTGTAATTTCAGTCTCAAAGACCAACTTGGCTGTGCATGAAGATAAAAATAAAGTGCCTTACGTGAAGGTAAGATAATAGTAGTTTTATCCATTTCACTTGACAGTTAAACATTTTTTCATGGGGTTGGTTCTCTGTCTGGGTGTGATACAGGAGTCGAAAATAATTTGTATAGGGGCTATTTTCTGTTTAAAAGAGCTATGGAGGTTAATTTTACACAAATGGCAGTGCGTGCGTGTTTAACTTGGCAATTGTCTTTTTTGTCATCAGTGATTCTCTTACTGAGAAACTGGCCCCTTAGAGCTATGTAGAATTGTAGCCAGGGGCTGGTGCCACCAATGAAGGTGGTTGAGGAGAAAGATGGTTTGACTTCAGTTTCTATTTAATAGTTGGAAAATCAGGTTCTTAAAACATAATTTAAGAATATCACATTCAATAAACTTTGTTTAAAAGTGACTGGTTCTTGGATAGCATGCGTGATTTCCAATTCAATTGTATTATTGGGCATGCAGCAATGCCATCATGTTTTTGTATTGTTGTAATGCATTGTTTGTTGTAACTTTCTTACCCACCCCTACTGGAAAATGAGCTTCCGATTCCTCCAGTATAAATACATCTGATTCTGGTAGTACAACTTTTCTGTTTCCTTGCATTTGTATAGGGATGCACAGAGCGATTTGTGTCTAGCCCCGATGAAGTGATGGATGTCATTGATGAAGGAAAGTCCAACAGACATGTGGCTGTCACAAGTGAGTTGGCTCCCCGATGAGTCGTACCGAGCTGTTGCGAGTGATGAGATTTATCTTTTAACTTGTGATTTCAAATCCTTGACAAATATTTATGGATCCGTCTGATATTAACATTAAACCACCATCGTTGCTGCTGTATACATTGACAAGTGATCTAACGGATCAAGAGACAGTTTAATAAATTATCGTGTAACCACACTTAAAAACAGTTTCTTGCATTTTTTTCCATTATATACCAAGGAAATTAACTTTACTGTAACTTATTTCTTTACATATTCTTTGACACCCATATACATTGTCTGCAGGCTATACTTTGTGTCATTATTCAGTCTATTATAGGCAACGTGTTTAGTGTATCCACTGAAATTTAATTGATTATTTTTGAAACGCGTGTTCCTCATCCATGTTTCTAACTGCTGACAGGATTGTATTTAAGCATACATACATACATGCTGCCCTGGATAGCACACTAGCCATGCAATCCAGGGGTCCCAAAATCAATCTCCTGGCTCAGCAGTTCAAACAATAGGCAAGTTTCTTCATCCTCTTGCCTCTGTTCACCCCAGCAGGATAAATGGGTACACCACAGTCGATTGGCAGGTAGCATGTGGTGGGACAAAAGTTGGCATTCCCATCTTTGTGAATACATTTTGCCAGCATGGAAAAGTAGGCGAAAAACCCTCTAGAGGAGCTCTCTCTTGAGTTAGGGCTATAGTTTGACCATTTAATAAATTAAAATTTTGCTGGCTACTTTGCCATTACCTTTTACCATATTAAAACATTTCAGAGGTGCTGCTCTAAAACACAAGATATGGTTGCTGATATTTGCGAGTGTTGATCTGTAGACATGAACGAGCACAGCTCTAGAAGTCACAGCATCTTCTTGATCAACGTGAAGCAGGAGAACGTGGAGACGGAGCAGAAACTCAGCGGGAAGCTCTACCTTGTAGATTTGGCTGGCTCTGAGAAGGTAAAGATGTATTGCATTGCTTTTTACTCTCTTGCCTTATTTAAATCTAGCAGACTCAAATTATCCGTGCTAATGACGGGGAGGATGGCCACAGATAATTCAAAATCGCAGATAATACAAAAATATACATTTTCTGCGGATATCTGCGTGCTCAGCGATGAAACTTTCCTGCTCCTGCGCAGAAGAGTCCGCCCACTAAGTGGATAGCAGAGCCACGCCAATCAAAATCATACTTCTCACTGTTGTAAAGATATGAGAGTGCTGTACTGTAAAGGCGATCATGTGGATTTCGGATTAACCGGAGCACATATTTGTTCGGTTCAAGCAAATGACTTGTAATAAACATTTCCAAGAATAACCGTAGATTATTTATTTGGGCTCAAGGGAAAATCCATGAGTTGTTAATTTACGTCAAAATCTCATGTGCGCGGTTAATCTGCACATTGGATAAACCATACGCAGATAATCGAGAGACTACTGTAGTTTTATGCTATATATGGCGGTTAGAATGTTCCACTTGTAGTTGGAAATTACATTTTTTTTGGTCGAGTTTCTTCTCAGCCCATCATCTGTATGCGGGGATTAGCTCGAGTACCAATTGGGAAATCAACAGTGCTTGTCCTGCAGAGAGAGACTGCCATGGTGATGTGGAATATTCACCACTGGCTCAGGGGCCATCAATAAAGATGAGCACCGTCGCCATTTCTAATGTGAGCCAGTAGACACTGGCTTCTTTTCACATTAAGTCAAACTCAGGTGCTAAGCCAGTATGGCTGAAATTAATGGCTTTATTTCCATTGAGAACGCATTAGATTTGGCAGCATTACAACCCTTTGGGGCACATTTTAAAACGTGCCTATTTACTAAAGTCCTTTTTTGATGGCTCTGTAAAGTGCTTTGGGGCAAGTTGTAAATGAGAAAGTTGGAATGTAATTACAGAGATGGCGATTCCCCCCTTCCCCTTTGCGGTAATAGGTGAGCAAGACTGGTGCAGAGGGATCTGTGCTGGATGAGGCGAAGAACATTAACAAGTCTCTTTCGGCGCTGGGCAATGTCATCTCCGCACTGGCCGAGGGCACTGTAAGCCAACGCACTCGTATATGCGACCATCCATGATCCGAATCATTAATTGGTGTGCATTATTCATTGAATGTTGCGCGACACGTTTCTGTGTTGTTTTGAGTTGCGCTGCATCTCTCGTGTTCGAGATCAAATTTTACACTCCACCGCCTGCGGAGGTTGGCCAGGTTGTGGAATCTGAATTTTGAAGACATTTTATGCAATTAAACTAAACTGTGATTGTAAATGTGTAAACCTGTGATTTTAAATCGTTACATGAAGGAAAATATAAAGCAGTTTAAACTGTACATTTTTGGCTAATTGGAGTAAAGTTTTGTAAAAATGTAAGAGAGTGGTCCTTACATAAATTTCATGTCGCTTTACCCAAGCAGTCTCCTTTTAAAGGGCATTTCGGCTATTATTGGAATTTTCAGACAGATTTGAAGAGCTTGGCTAGTCACATTGTACCCTGCCTTTTACTAATTAGTGACCTGGAACCAAATCTTTTGACTTTTAGACATGATGAACATTTCACCGTATCAACTCATTTCATTATATATATCAATAAAAGTGAAGCTAGCATATTTGTGGATTCTTACCTTTTACCTTTTTGTGTTTATACAGAAAAGCCATGTGCCGTACCGAGACAGCAAAATGACGCGCATCCTTCAGGACTCGCTGGGTGGAAACTGTCGCACGACTATCGTTATCTGCTGCTCGCCTTCCTCCTACAATGAGGCCGAATCCAAGTCTACGCTCATGTTCGGACAAAGGTGCGGCACCACGTGACCTGAAGGGGAACTCTCAGAAGATGTCGCGGCCAGCTCGTAATATTATTTTCCGGTCTTGAAAGTTCAACGAATGGCTGGCATGCACTGTTGCTTAATATTTGCACTTGTTTGATGGATGGACAGAGCAAAGACGATCAAGAACACGGTAACGGTGAACCTGGAGCTGACGGCAGAGGAGTGGCGCAAGAAGTATGAGAAGGAGAAGGAGCGCAACAAGGGCCTTCGGAGCACCGTGCAGCGCCTGGAGCAGGAGCTCAACCGCTGGCGCAATGGTGAGGTCCCGTCTTTGCTGAACATCTGGGAAGCGCTGCACATTCGTTGCAAGAAGCACATTCCAACGCAAAGAGCTGTGTGATTTCCGTGACAAATGATCTTTGCCTACACTAGAAATATTACTAAAAGTTTTAACACGTACATTTGTCAGTCATCACAAAAATAAAATCACCGTTTTCATCACACTTCTTACTGCCCATCAGGATAACATATGTTCGGCTTATAGTTTGAGCAGTTGTCTTTCAGAGGGTACCCAGATGAGGGTTACATTAACTTTTGCGTAAATGTGGCTCATAATAAGTTTTTACGACATTAAGTCCAAATATAAGCCTGGTTTGTGTTTTTATCTCATGAAGCAGTGGTAATTATGAAGGTGCTGATGTTTGTTTTAGTTGTTTAAATGCCACTGCCAGTACAGTTAAAAAAATAATATTTAACTATCCCCCAACTGTCTCTTAAGTTAAAATGTACAGCAATATGCTGTGTCAAGAAGATCATTTATAGATGTCTTCAACTTTTTTTGAGATCGTCATCAAAGCAGCCAATTTTCTTATCGCCACATTGTTTCTAAGAGCCTTTTTATGGAGAACAAAATTTCCCACAAGTAGAGAGTTTTGTCCTAAAAATTAAAACAGTTACAGCCTTAGGTTCATAATTTCTTACAGTTCAATGGATTGGTTTATTGTGTAGGAGTCTAATTTTTTTGGAAGGTGAGACATTTTACTGGTATTGTAAGAAACGGGGTTTTGTGTAAATAAGTATATAGGGTGCGGTCTTACACTGTGCAAACAGATCTGAAAGGATGATCTCAGTTCAGTCAAAGGTTGCCACAAAGACATTTCTCGGTGTACTAACATTTGTAGTGCATTGTATATCAGCTGCCAGTGCACTTTGTCGAGTCCAAACCAGACTTTCCTTGCTTAAAGGAGCAATGAAGCAGCACTCATCTCTATTGATGGCCATGAGCTACTGATGGAAATTACACATTCTACTGGTATTCATATTCTTGGGTCTTTCGGTAAAGTCGCGTAGATAGGTTCAAAGGAAATATTCAAAAATAACAGAATACTACGACGCTTCGACCGATTGCGTTGCGATCGAAACGTCGTAGTTTTCTGTTATTTTAAATTATTTTCTTTGAACCTATCTACGTGACTTTACCGAAAGACCCAAGAATATGAATTCCTGCAGTCACGAAAGCTTTAAGTCAAGATGTATTCTACTGGGCGTTGCCAGTATATTTAGCGCAGTGCATTCTATGAATGCGGGTTAGTGATTATGCCTTTTTGGGTCGGCTTCATTATACAGGAAAGTTTTTGTTAATGTTTAAAAAAAATGTTTTAGCAATGTTTAAGGATTACTCAATGATGTTTAATGTAATCCAGGGGTGATAGTGCAGCACAGTCCTATATTAAACCTTTTAAATTGATAATTTTGCTTAACCCTCCCATGCATCATGTGCAATGTGGTGGACTGCAATAATGCATGTGACTGATATTAAATTAATTGAAACATTTGAACAAATTTGGTGTATTGATTCCAAAGAACGCATTCAGCCAAACACAATTTCTCTTCGAATAATTTACGCGTGAGAGTTATCTTTTATTTAACACAATTAAAATGGTTTAATTCACTTCTATTTGCCACTGTTCATATTTGTAATGGAGCTGCTGTTTTTGTTTTCATTGTAACTGGTAATTTTGTTACTCCAGAATTTTTTAAGGCCTCGTTGGGTTTTACACTGAAGAACAACATTTAGTGTGTGGCTTTGTTAACTCACTGCTGGTGACTTGCTGCTATCTCTGTTTAATTGCTTTATAAATGTATTATGCTTTCACGACTCATGGTATTAGAGGGCTACTTGTGATTGTTGTGGTTAACATCTGTGCCATGTTATCGTGTCTTTCTCAGCAGACCCTAACCATAACTTATGCTTCTCTAGTAAGTGTGTGATCACTTGCTTAGAAATAGAATTTCCAAAGTCCTAGGTCAATCTAAATGTCAATCCAACATATTAAGGATTGCACATAGCTTTTTATTGCATGTCCTGCATGCATTTTACCTCCATGTGTAAATGATTTTATTTCCCAGCCATGTGAATAGTAAGTTCATGGTCTTGCACGATGTCATCCTTCCCTGTTTGCGACGATGGATTTTTTTCTCTCCTTGTTTTGCATGTGGTTTATCTTAAGTGTGAAAGCAACTGATCCCTTCCTCAAGTAGAGTGCAAACAGTGTAGTACTTCATCCTTTGTCCACTAAAATAGACATTTTAAATATGAAGCAATGCAATAAATTTGATGATGAAATTGAAAATGTATTCTTCTTTAGTTCATAGTCACTTACTATTTATGTGGATGTGAAATTTGAAGTAACCATTTTTCAAAGTGAACATATTCGATACAAAAAAAAATCGAAAAATAGGATAAGCATAACACTTTTAACTCATCATGGCCAAAAGGCATTCAATGCGTCTTCCTGCTCAAACAAGTATGGACTGGTGCTCAGCTTAGTTTGTGGCTCTGAGCCACTTGTCGGAAAAGAGATGGAGTCACTTGTGGAACCATTTTCATGGTGAGAAGCAATCTGACTTGCCACCTAGTGGTGCTCCAATTTTTGATGCCAGAACGATGATGAGTTGAGTTTCCCCCCCTTACCATCTGATTGCGAGTTTTGCACTCTGTGAGTTGAGCACTCAACCATAGTAGTTATGAATCAAAATTCTCTGAATTCACTGAAATTGCTTTTCAAGTAAACATTTTGAGGTTGCTTTCACATGAGAGACATTTATATGAGAAGTTGCTTGAGATATTGAGTCAACCCTATGATTGGTGAGTAGTTGCCCGCCTTGATGTTCCTGTGCATGCGTGCGTGGGCCAGGCGAGACGGTGCCGGATGATGAGCGCTTTGACATGAAGGACCGCCGGAGCCTGGAGGCTCCGTCTTCCGATAGCTTAGTCTCCCTTCCCTCTATCGCCGCTTCCGTGTTGGACAGCATTGCCTTGCCCACCAGCAAGATGTCTGCTGACGACAAAGTCAAGTACGACCAGGAGGTGGTCAAGCTCTACAAGCAGCTCGATGACAAGGTGCAGATGAAGTGGGGAGATTACGGCAGCAGGGGTAGTATTAATAAACTCTTGATATCAACGTAAAAAGTCTGTTTTTATAGCCATATGCACCCATTGGTTTCCCTGAGACAGAGCTGGAATTTCACATTACCATGATGAAGGCTGTTCTTGCTGTTAGGATGACGACTTAGAATGATGACTGTTGTCAAAATTACCCATTTTCCATTCATGGACGACACAATAATTCCCACTTTGTAGGAAATGACCCAAAATGAATAAGGAGTCTATTGACTCCCAACCTGCATATGAACTTGGGAATTGCATTTTGTGAATCGAGCACTCTCTAACCACAGCCAAAATAGGCTGGATTTTTGGTCGCGAATAATTTCCAAATAATATTTTTAAGCAAATATGTATGTTGTTGTTAACCTCGTTTTTGTGTTATCTTTTCAGGATGATGAGATCAACCAACAGAGTCAGCTGGCAGAAAAGCTCAAGCAGCAGATGCTGGATCAGGAAGAGGTTTGTGGTGGATCCTTGTTGTTGAGATATGTACCCATTACCAAGGGAACGCAGAGCAATGCACACTATGTAAAGCTCGGCTCTCCCTACAAAACGCTAAACCACAATGACCTGTCACATTTTCTTTAGACTTTTTTTTCAATTGAGAAGCAGCAAAGCCATTTATATTGTATACCTTTTGGTAATGTTTGTTTAACATGTGTACAAAGTGCAAAATAATGGGTTCATGTATAATTCAGCTACAGCTCCTGTGACACCTTTTTACTACTCAGTCATTTGTGGTAAAGTAGTTTAGTTACACTTGTCACATGCATAAAACATGCCAATGCTGTATACTATATTAATTTTACGCTAAAACCACCATAACCTTGCGCTGAAGAGCTTTCCATGTTCACACACTGGCAAACAATAGAATCAAATCTCATGTTACCTTCTTATGGTGGAGTAATATTCAGTGTTGCTTAAGGGCTTAAATCTATCCACATTGCCGAGTCGGTGCTTGTTGATACAAGCTGATGTGGGGAATGTGCTGTGCAGTGGGGTTTTACAAGTAGCTGAGAGAGCTTAACATAATTCACCTATATCTCAGCCTTGTGTTTAGACATGGGTCAGACCTTAAAATCACTCTTTATTTAAAACCAGACAGTGAGCAAGCCAGACATTGACTCATGCAAAACAGATATGAATAGTATTAACTGCATGCTAAATTAATTTGCTACTGCCATATCGCATTACTGCTTATTGACCTTGCCAGTCAAACAAAGGACCTTTAAAAAACAATGCATGATAGTTGTATTGACCTGCATTAATGTAATTTATGGCAACGATTAAGTAACTCCTGGGGGAGAACATCTTGCAGAAGGACAACGTGGATAATTAAAATAATTTGATCATATTGATAATGACGCAGTACAAAGTGTAATTTTCTTCCAAATTGTGTTGCAGATATATTAATCTCTCCATTACAAGAGGGTACAATGCATAAGTACCTTTTGAACAGAAGTTGTAATTTTATCATCAAACACCCAGAATGTTTAGGCTCATTGGTGAGACTGCTGACCGCTGGGCTGCCCTTTACTTCTCTTTGCAGCTCCTGGCATCATCACGGCGGGATTATGAGTTTGTGCAGGAGGAATTATCAAGGCTGCAGACTGAGAATGAGGCAGCAAAGGAGGAGGTGAAGGAGGTGCTCCAGGCACTGGAGGAGCTTGCTGTCAACTATGACCAGAAGTCTCAAGAAGCAGAGGACAAGACCAAGGAGAATGAGACCATCTCCGAAGAGCTGCAGCAGAAGACGGTGGGTGCTTGAAAAACGCACTGTGAACAACCTGACCTGTTGCCAAATCTAAATCACCAGTCGAATGTTAACTGTTTCTCTACACTTAGCCACTTCCCCAGTTCATCCTGGTATGACATTGTATGTCTGTTGAACTTCTTTCGTGCACTATATGTAGCCAACCGTCGGTGCGCTAATTTGAGGTGCGGGGGAAGGACAACAAACTCGTGCAACAATTCCATTGTTTGCCATTGTAGGCCATCCATGATATCACAGATGAGTTCATCATCATCATCATTACACGTTTAGGGTTATAAAAATGAGACACCTTTGCCAGTACCAAGTTATTGAATAATAAAAAGGCTTTACCCCTTTTGGTACCAGAATGGGTAAAGGATTTTTATCATTTTATCATTTGATTGCTTAGGGTCGTTTGCAGTTTTTCCTATTACAATTCATCATGATCACTAAAGTCCCGTAATTATAACGATCAGAGCTACACTGAAAATATTTCTGTCCTGACTGCACCTGTAAGTAAAACTTCAATGCATAGAACATATAGCAGTTTCCGTGTTGTGCAACAATTACATTTTATTAAGTCTGTTATTTGATACAACTATTCAGCTGTTATATGACTGGGTATTTTACATCCCATTTATTGAGTGACTTAAAATAGACTCCAGTAACTATTGGACTCCTCACACACTGGTTGCTCTTGAGGTTTATAAAATCATCATGTCATCATGATAGAAATACGTTGATATATTTGCAGCTCTAAAGAATAACAAAACAAATAATTCCGGTTTAGTTCCAGTACAGGTCTGCCAAATGGAAATGGGCCAGTGCTTTTAATATGCTTCATTAAACCTGGAGGATTATTTTAAGAAGCACTGGTAAGCTGTGGTGCCATCAGATTCGTTGGTTGTTGTAACTTGTAAAATAGACTAGAATTAAACACCTTTTTGAAGAGCACTCTCATCTGCTTCTAAGCGCTTTGTGCCGTGTCACTTGGGGCCCCTAGACGTTTCTGTCGAACAAGGAATCGGAGCTGCAGCGACTGCAGGAGGTGACGTCACACCAAAAGCGTCGCGTGGCCGAGATGTTGACGCTGCTCATGAAGGACCTGGGGGAGATGGGAACTGCCATCGGCAACAATGACATTAAGGTGACACATTTCTTCTAATGTATATTGCAAAAATCCTCGGCAACTTTGCCATATTAACCACTTTGAAATACTTTAATACAATGCATTTCATATTAATTTCAACTTCGTGTAATTTTTAAGTTACCAACGTATGTCCCATCTTTGTACAGTACCGGCTTGGTGATGCAGCTTGATGGGATGTGATAGCAACACAACGATTGGCTATGACGACGCCATGCAAACTACGGTTAGCCAAGCCTGTACGTGTCCCTCTTGAGACACGCGCCACTATGTGGAGCATCGTAGCTATGCGTGCCGGCTTGGCCTACGCACTTTGTATGCAGTTGTCTTCAAGAGACGTTGGCAAAGTTCCAAATGTATTCTGTTTTCCAACTAAAATTAAAATATATGAAAATTCATGAAACCAAGATGCTTTTTAGGGTTCAGCTTATGTGCAGTGTTTATTTTCATTTCACTTTAACATTTGTTATACAGGTGGAAAATATAGGATCCCTCACTCATAGATTGTGAGAAGATTACACGATTTGAGTGGGCACTGATCGTGTACATTGTTCTGATGTCTATATGATTTTGGCAGCAATGCAAATTACATATATTTTATGGGAAGTCGAAAGTGACTGCAGAATTTGAACCACTGACTTAGGGCCACTGCCACCAGTGCAGATCAGTACTGCCTCTTGCTAATGTGAGCAATAATTAACATTTATTAATGAAGTCTGTAAAAAGATAACCTTCCACTTTGTAAGGGCAGACACCTTACATTTTTAAAGAAACTGCTAGGGTTATTTTCCTAGCCAATATTAACATTTACAATTAATGATAATCATTTTGCATCGGCTACTGACACACATACCCACTCGCTTCATAAATTAGTGAACTGTTGTACCTTTTATTGTCGTTGAAAATAATGTGGCTTACCTTTCTGACGTGTCTGACCCAAGGTGAAAAGGTTGACCAAATGCTTGGAGAAGGCCGGTTCTGCATATATTGTCGTGAATGCCTTTAGTTCAACGCAGACCTATGGCTTTCCACTTGCAGCCCCTGGAGCTGAGTGGCATGCCAGACGAGGAGTTCACTGTAGCTCGTCTCTACGTGAGCAAGCTCAAGTCCGAGGTAAAGACGCTGGTGAAGCGCACCAAAGTGCTGGAGAGCTCGCAGGGAGACACCAACAAGAAGATGGAGGAGAACGAGCATGAACTGTCCTCCTGCCAGCTGCTCATCTCACAGGTAACCACACAGGCTATTCGCCACCACCACTTTTATTGACAGCAGCACCACTGCCTATGAAACCTCCAGCAATGCGCCCGTAAATGTGAATTAACAAGTTAACTTCTTGTAGCATAACGGACGTCATGATACCAAGAGTAATTTTATTTTGGAATGGGCCCTAAACCTGTGAGGATCGGCTGCATTGGTTCCTTGCAGCACGAGGCAAAGATTAAGTCTCTGAGCGAGTACATCCACAACATGGAGCAGAAGAAGCGGCAGCTGGAGGAGACGTTTGACAGCGTGAGCGAGGAGCTGGCAAAGTTGCGTGCACAGGGTGAGTTGCCCACAGGCCCCCTCCATATTGCAGGTGTGCCATCTTTTGCGGTTTGAGGACACAAAGCATCTCTAAAATATATTTTTGTGATCGTTTTTCACATACAAATTTGCAATGTGTTGTTAAAGCTGTTTGTCCACAGAGGTACCTAACCAGCTTTCCTAAATTTTAATAATATTGGGGAGTGATTAAAATGTTGAAAGATACTTGCCCGATGTGATTGCATGGAGAACAAAGGTGTAAATGTTTATTCGACATGTAAACTCGGAGATGCTGTTGTACGTGTCAGGTGTTCCTTCTGATTATTATTATTAGACGGAGTTTTTTATATTTTGCACCCTGGAGCCCTAGAATTCAAAAGATATTTAATCACTTTCATCCCACGATCTATAAAATGTAAAAGGATTGTGCGAGCCTTTGTAATGTAATTTAGTATCATGACCAGGTTATCTCATTCCAAAGAGCAATTATCTCACAAGGTGGTGAGGTCTTCCCAGGTTAAGGGTGACTTGGCCAATTGGCATTTGATTACCAGTAAACTGCATGCTGTCAGTTGGGAAGTGACCAGTGGTTCTGCTGCAGATTGATCCTGGCTGTACAAATATGGAAATTCCGCCATGTTCTTCTTCCACTAATTACTACTGCCCATTACTAAAACGTCTATGGGGACACATTTTGATATAGTTCTAGCCCGTTAATACATTGTTGTATGCTTTTCTTAGTGAAACGTAACAGTCGTAGTGCATTTTATCTTCAGGCCAGCGGACTCCTTTGCTGTATACCATAAATAACGGGTGAGTCTCTTTATGAATATAATTAATCTGGGAGAATCCCAGGTTACTGGTGTGTATGTGTGTGTATAGGTGCTGATGAAATTGTCTTGTGCGTATAAATTGACCCGTATGCTGCTGTGTTAATCCTTGCACAGAGAAAATGCACGAAATGAGTTTAGAGGACAAAGAGAAGGAGCATCTCGACAAGTTGCAAAATGCCAACGAAATGCAGGCAAGTCTTTTGTGGTTTGAAGGTGCCTTCTCAATGATGCTGTTTTATTTTTAGATGAATACAAACCGAAATATGAACACTGCTTTACTGCCACTAACTGAAATGAGTACCACCCAACTGTTCTTTTAGCAATCTTGGTTTTACTAAATGTTAGCTATATGCACTAGACCTGGGTAGTTATCACACTTCCTAGCCTGGATTGTTGTTCTTCTTTCTTTCGGTTAAGTCACGTCTAAAGATAAAATAATAAATTAAATTATCTTTAGACGTGACTTAACCGAAAGAACCAAAGAATAATTCCTGCAGTCACGAAAGCTCCAAAATTAAGAATGGATTGTTGTTCCTTTCTGGGATTATAATGTCTCGTGAGCTTGTGGGGACTGTGCGATTGTGGTGGGGGCTGGGCGGTATGAATCCCAGCAGGGGAGTCGGGGTAGAAGGTAGGGCCCAAGGGGCCTGCAGGGCATAGTGGAGGCCGGCCTAGGCATGGTCCTTACCCGTGACCATGCACTGCTGGGATGCACGGAGCAGCTAATTTTATAGCCAATGCTATTTATACATGCAGCTGCCCCATGTATATGCAAGGCTCTGAGTTACTCCTTGTATAGTCTAGGCCAGCCAGGCACCATGGTCTCCTCCCTTCTTGTCTTACCGCACGCCAGAATTGAGGTGGGATTGGTCCTATTCTTTACTCATTTGGCATTGACCATATATATTTACCAGCTGGCTGATTTTAACGTTGCAATTGCCCATACAATCATGAATTCTGCAGGTGTTATCCAGAGTGGGATCGGAAATATCAAATATGATTCCTGTTCTAATGCACGTACATTTTGGGCAGATTCTATTTGTAGCTTTTTTAATGGATTCAATGTAGCAATGGAACAGCCGTGTGCTGATTCACAAACTTGAACAACCTGAACCAGTTCCTAATCTTTACCAACAATATTTTTCCTTGATGACAATGAGCTGAAGAATTCACAAACATGCATTTCCTTCTGCCCCGATGTGTAGAAGGAGCTGGAGCAGCAGATGTCTGTGCACCGCGAGGCACACCAGAAGCAGCTGTCACGCCTGCGGGATGAGATCGATGACAAGCAGAAGGTCATTGACGAACTCAAAGAGTGAGCAAATCCCATGCTGTGCCATCCCTGCATTTCACTCTACTTGTTTGACCAGAGGATGTTTTCTGCTGCAGGCAGGACTCTGTGAGCAGACATACCATGCTAAGCTCCATCAGTTTTACCCTGCTCCAGTAATTCCAGTGGAATTATATGGTAGTTGTGTGAAAGGTTTGTAAAAAGAGTTAGGGTTGTTGGTTGCAATGGTATATACTTATCATTTGCTGTTATGGAACAGCACCAAGGAAAGGATTACAAGCCTGTCTCACAAAATGGCTTCGGACATTTCTCCCACGACTTTTTAGGATCCTAGATAAAAAAATAAAATCATTCTTTTGGGTTGTTAGAGCCTAAGACAGGGTTCGGCAGCCCGCAGCTCTGGAGCCGCGTGCGGTTCTTCAAGAACCTTATCGTATTCGCAGGCATTGCGGCTCTTGAAATATTGAGTTTTTTTATCGAATAAAAAAATGTCTCGTTATTTTGGTTGCGGGACCCCTGGCCAAAGGCATTTACTTACAATGTCATTAGAACCTTCAATAAGGTCCGGTTTGATCTAGGCAATGTGCAGTGACCCACAGTTCTTAAAAACACTTATTGTGAATGTATTTTTTTTTCTAAAAGTAGCAATTGAACTTCTTTTGCACCGTACGTAGCCAACCGTACATACTATTACCATTTGTATTGTGTTTGCATGCGCACGTGCAGGCTCTGCTCGGTCCATCTCATGCTGATCACTCTGCGAACCAACATTGTGTTGCTGTCCTATGACAGTAAAACCACAAACTTTAAATGTGAATTTTGTAATAATAACATGTCCTCTCAATTTGAATATATTATTCCGCAATGCATTTATGTATCTCCCTGCGGGAGAAAGAAATCACGGTTTATTTTTACCTTGTGTGCGAATTTATAATGTTTTTTGTCCTTATTGTTGGTGTTGGCTGGTTATTTACAAGATGGTATGCCGAGATCTGGAAAATTATAGAAGAGTAGGTTATGGATCATTGGCACCTGTAAATGTTCCCGTGGAAAGAGCAATGCACATTTGTCTGGACCATCGGACATCTATTTTCAGTGTTGTCGGCAAGCTAATGAGCCTTGAAACCTGCCTTTTAATTAAACCCCGAAGGGTCATCTTTGTTACGTGAGGACAGATTGATATTGACATATGTAAGGTCACAGAAATAGCTTTTTCGGATTCCTGGAATTGCCGATGATTGTATTGGTGACCAAATGGAGTGAGCAAACCCTCATGGCCCTACATGATTCACCATCGCTTGGAGTGAAAAAATGTTACCTCCTCCCCCCATGTAAGCTACGTCCCCTACTTTACGCTCCAATTTTAATCAATGATGCAATGCAAATCAATGCATACTGATTAAACTCCCCTTTGTTTTGGTACATTTGGTAACTGGAAGGTTGCCTGGTTATCAATAAATGTTTGTGATGCATAAAAATTGGGAGGAAAATAATCTGCTAAACAGACCGGGGACTGTACATTTTGCAACAAATAAGGCAAGTGGATTGTTAAAGAATGGTATATGTTTATATTTTACCATAAACCGAAGCACAATTGGAACTGAAACTTACATTTTATGACCAGTGTAATGTGAAAACATAGTGACATAACTGCGACTAATAGTTGACTTGACTTAAATTGATAAAAGTTGCATTGCAATGCTGATTTGTCTTAAAATATGCTCAAATAGAGCCACATTAGCACTGGACAAATGACCAGTGCTGGATTAAACAATTGCAAATACACTGGCACAATGATGGCAATTGTGGAATTTAGCCTGAAACTAGAATAAGTACTGTCTTGAATGAAATGCTGTGGACCAGTGTGCAGGGAGGCCACTGACTTACATGTGCTTTGCATTTGCAGCACCAACCAGCGCTACATGCTGGAGCAGGAGCGCCTGGGTAAAGACTACGATCGGCTCAAAGCTGACGAACAGGAGAAGAGCCGCAAGCTGCACGAACTCACGTGAGTAAAACCATCCATCGTGCCACTGAACCCCTCGCGGCAAAGTGTATGGGAGTCATGAACAGGGCCCTATTAACCCATTGGTAATCTGCCCGTGAAAGGCATAATTAAATTTTGAAATAGTTTGGTTTGTTTTATGCATCTCTATCATGTCTTTCTACCCACAAGTCAGATCACTCTATATTGAACCGTCATTGTTTACATATTTGTAGGTTGTGTCCCTGGTACTAGGCACCATAATCTGGTTCTGAACATGAAGTATCTGTACAAGTCTTGCTTATCGACGTTCTGTTATATGACCAGCAACATTTTGGGAAACGTCTTTTCTTCATAGCACATGATGAGGGACCATTGGCCGAAAAGTCAGCCAATGCTTTGCCACCAAAATATTTGTTTATGTCAATCAGATGTTCAACCTCTTTCATCCGTACAGGATCATGCACGACCGACGTGAGCAAGCCAAGCAGGACCTCAAAGGCCTCGAGGAGACAGTGGTATGTGGTGCTCTAATTATCGAGAGGTTTGATAAAAGTTGCAATATGTTTGCCATACTGTGCTTTTACTGTGTGACGTCATAGCTAGCTAAGATGTGACAAGAGTGATGCGTGCCGGTTTGGTTGATGCAATTTGCATGGCATTGTCTTTGAGAGTTTTTTCTTAATTGCTTATGTATTCACAATTCCAAACACATGAAAATCTATTGAGCCAAGATATTTATTAGACTTTAGCTTATTGATAAAAGGTAAAATTATAATTTATTTAGTTAAGGAATTCTGCAGTGTCATTTCATTTTGGATTAAAGTGTTTTCCATATCAAGTATGAAAATACAGATTCCCCACACATGTTGTCATGAGGCTTCACTACACAGTTTTTTTTAATATATCCCTTGTCACCGAACTTTATAATAATCCATTCAGATGCATTGAATATGAACCGTAAGCTTCATGCAATGTTAATGATCTCTGAAAGTAAGACATCAAACGGCATCACTGCAACCCCATCTATAATAATGTTTTGTGTGTTCCCAGGCCAAGGAGCTGCAGACCTTGCACAACCTGCGGAAGTTGTTTGTTATGGACCTTGCGACCAGGGTCAAGCGGGTGAGTTGCATGAAGCAGTACAAGCTGCGAGTTGAGAGGCCACTGTAAAATGTTACAAATCCTATGTAAATTTAGTTTTTTTTATGTATCACAGTTTACCTTGTATTACAGAGATTGTAATAAAATACCATTCGTTTAATGTCTACTTTTTATGTTTCGCCCAATCTAATTGTGTAAAAAGAATCATAGTAATAGTTCTATACCTATTTTATATCCATTAACAGTTATGCTGTATATAATCTTGTCATGGCCATAGGAATGTGGTATTTAAATTTGTTGGGTTTCCAATGCAGATGCAAATTTTGAGCTTGGAGATAATTCATACTTGTTTTAGCTATAACACAAATTGCAATGGTTTATTTCGGTCTCAAACAGGTGCAAAATCGAAACCCAGTAAACTGGCACTGGCAACCTGTGGGACTGAAAGGCACTATTTATAAAATAGGAAAGGCAATATCACCTATGAACAACATCTACACATCTCATTTGTTTAATGGCAGAGCACCACTCAAGCCAAAATGAAAGGTGTAAACTGTTAAAACACTCATTAATGTCGTTGGCCAAAGATCCCAAGATTATTGTTGGCACTGGTTTGGGCTGCCTTCTTGCTTTCTGTTGTTTTCTGTTCAGCTGAATCATTGTATTTCTTTGAGAGGGAACAAAACTGTTTGCCTTACAAAACACGTTCCTTCGGAGTGGGCAGGTAGGAACTTGGTTGGACAGCGCATTCGTGCACAACAGACAAATATGCACGACAGACAGACAAATAATCCCTGGTGGGCAGTGTGGAACCTGTTGTTCCTACCTCTGTTATAATCATTCTTGAGAGTGGCAGATCTCTTTTACGATGCTCTGGCAAAAAAAAAGGGACCAGCTTGGCATGTGTTAATGCAGTGTGTGAATCCTAGCTTCTTTGAAAGGAAAGATTTGGTACATCCAGGGTTGTGGTCATTAATAGAATGAATTACACCCACAGTAACTACTCATGTTTTGTGACTGGAGTTGTTGTTCATTTTCAGAATGCTGACATTGATGTGGATGATGCTGGGGGAAGTGCTGCACAGAAGCAGAAGATCTCTTTTCTTGAGAACAACCTCGACCAACTCACCAAAGTGCACAAGCAGGTAAGGCTTTACTTTGGTGTACGATTTGCCATTTGGCCCTATGGTAAATTTTAAGAAATCCTTGCCAGCAATAATCACTCGCAGAACATAGACCATGAGTGACTATATCAACTTGGCGGACGGCAGAACGGATTGAGTCATTCCTCTATGCTGTTGCCCACTCAGTTACTCAGTCAATCGGTCTATACATAATATGTTTCACGTGGGCAATATATGGAGGTGAAACATCTTATTCTTTGGTTACTTCGGTAAAGTCACGTAGATAGAAAAAATAATAAAAAATCAAGTGATTAAAAATATCACGACGTTTCAATCGCAGCAACACAACAAGCGGTCGTCATCAGGGACAGGGAGGTTAGACTCTGAGGGTAGGCTGTTTATAAAGGTTTAGAGATGGGCGGGGCAGCAAATGTTAATGAAGGAGAAAGCTCCGACACCGGCAGTAGGTCTACACCAATAAAAGAGCTGTTTATAAAGGTTCAGAGATTGGCTGCCCGCCCATCTTTAAACCTTTATAAACAGCTTGCCCTCAGAGTCTAACCTCCCTCTTCCTGATGACGACCGTTTGTGTTGCGATCGAAACGTCGTGATGTTTTAATCGCTTAATTTTCATGTTTTCTATCTACGTGACTTTACCGAAAGAACCATAGAATATGAATTCCTGCAGTCAGGAACGTTTTAAGTCAAAGTGAAACATCTTGTTTGAAAGGGTTTAAGCTTAGCTTACCAGAAAAGTAGAAAAATGAAAAGGCTTGTTCTATCACCTGTCCAGATTCCACTCATGTACTGACTTGAAGCTGCCATCTCTCAAATGAAGAGAACTTGAAGTCAGGCAGCCATGTGATCTCTCTAATATGATTGGAAGTTGCTGTCCCTGTTGCCCCATACGTGGAGCTGTGGTCAGATTAGATTCAAGAAACAATATTTGTCCATAAGGGGAAAGGCTTTGACAACTATTGCTGGTGATAATTGTCAATGGCCCTGACTCAAAAATTCCTCTTTGGATTGCGACGTTTAACGTCTCACTTAGGTGGAGATATCAGAGAATAAAGTCAATAATACGCAACCTTCTTAAACTCTGCAGTGGTCATTTAAGGCTATTGCTTTATATTTAAGTGTCTGTTTTTAAGTTAAAATAGACGTTTTAAACCATGGTAGCCCATCATCCCCTATTCCTCGGAAAATTTGATAAAGCATCAGTTTATGGAACTGCAGGTAAATCTTTCTTGGCATATAATATTAAATGTTTTGCAGACAGGAATGTCAGTAACAGCAAGCTGGGAGGGTTTGTTAGGCGTTTGTTTGTAAAAGTGGGTAAATGTGGTACTCCAGTGAGTTGTCTTTAAGCAGAGTTTATTTTGAGTCGTAAATGCCTTTGGCCAAACTACAGCTTATAGCACAAAGGTTGCCAAGTATTTTTAATGAGTTCCTATTCGAAAATCCAGGTGCTAAAGAGTACACTAAAGTGTGCATTAATCGTCTTGCCATTCAACCCCAATATTTGCCCCTTTTGAGACGCATGAAACTGCATTGCACAAGTCTGCAGTTACACATATAGCTGCTGCAGATGGCAGTGTTTGCATTATTCTAAGGTTGTACAAGTTACCTTGGTGTTGGACAGACCAAGGTGGAATTGCATTTCACTCGGGGAATTAATAACAACTGGCCAACAAGGGGCATTTCACAGATGGTGCAAAACTAATGAAATTTCAAATGTCAATCCCAGCCATAGTCAACATCAAGCTGTGACCTCTCTTTGTAATCTCGCTTGGCTTTAGAAAGAGCTGTGCACTTAAAGGTTCCACAGCAACATAATGAAACTATTCCTGGCCATTTATTTTATTACTTACTTTAAAGAATCAACTTGAGCCGATGCGTGAAATACATTGTTATTCATTTTATGGTGATGATTTTTCCACCCAAACGTTTCATGTTATACAAGGTGTTTTGAAAATCTGGAGAATTAACCTTGGATATTGTGGATTTCTCCTATGTTGTTGATAACAGAGAGTGGCCATTGATGTTGATGTAGACATAATGGAAATGTTGTCAAATTCAACATAGTGAGGGACATGTCTTGTATTTTTTCTCATATCTTCTTACTATTCAGTGGCCATTAAAATGCATCCCAGCAACTTCCCATTGCTGATAAAAACAGTGGCTGTTTCAAAAGATATCGGCATGCAGTCCAACTCTTTTGGGAATCTCTGGAAATTGTTCAATATTGTTGTTTTCATTCTAACGGCTACATTATTCCTGACCAGCACACAGTATTACATATTTTAAGATGACCACAAGGACTATATACAAACAGAATATTTAATCGTATCATTTTGGGTTTTGAGGTTGTGTTTACCAACAAAGCTGTCTCAGCATGGCATCTATTCTATCCAACTAACTTAAACCATGCATCGGATTAACATTTATCCATGCAAAATATTCATAGCATCTTTTGTTTGGAATGAACTCCATTTCCTAACTGCTAGCTGCTCTATTATTTACTGCTTTTTGTTCTATTTAGCTTTTGACCGCACATCCATCAGTTTCTAACGTGGGGAATTACCCTCTCATCATATATCTGCGCGTTTTCAATGTTATTCTCTACGATCCCCACGTGCATCAGATGTCATTATGGCGTAACAAGGTACTCAGTGGTGTGCCCTTTTCACGGAACTGCTTGGACGCATGCCATGCAGTCTCTCGCCATCCATTGCCAGCATGGCTCTCCAGCCTCTGTCATGTTGATGGTTTAAAAGGTGCAACAGGGTTCACGCCAGCCAGGAGTTTAGCGGTGGATGTCTGATGTTATGGAGCAGGACCTTTCCTAGTAAATTTCAGACTGAGTACTCAAAACGTTGATGTGGTGGTGTGACTGAACAACACGTAGTTTTTAGTCTCAGCTTTGCACGTAAACTAGGATGTTTATTTTTGTTTGGATTGAAAACAGATGTGCAAAGGTGCCTTTTTCTCAAAATGCTTATGGCGTGAAAACTGGTGCAGGTTTAAATCACCTGTGCTGAGGGCATGCATGGGTTTGTTGAAGTCTTTGTTTTATGATGATGGGCTGCAGTGAATAACATTTCGGTGAAATATATCCTGCTCACATTTTACAGTTCCTGGAGATTTGTAATATTGTATCTTGATTTGAAGACGTGACTATTTCAGAGTTATGTTTTGTCAGCCAGTTATTGGGTAGATTTCTGTCACTGCTTCCAGAGTTCTTTAACATTTTACGAGTCACATCTGTGTCGTGTGTTTTCATCATTTAGAATCAAAACGTAAAAATGTAATGCAAATGGATGTCCCGTTAAATGAACATTTCATTCCTAGATAACTTAATGGGCATCTTGTTCTGTATTCACCAAATCGACATTCACAAATGACTATGAGAAATGTGAGGTTTCGTTGAGAATATAGTTCAATATTAATAATTTATATATTCATCAGTGACCATGTTAAGACCAAAAAATACTCTAACTGAGCGCAACCCTGTACTCTAAGCCATAGCTGGTGGCTTCTTAAACGTAGAATTTGAACCTTTCGCATAGCAACCATCGCCCCCAACTGGTACATTTTGGCAGGACCCTCGTGAAGAAAGAGTCATGCTGCAGCTTTTCTGTGTAAACGACCATAATAATAATCTTGATTTTGAAGCTTTCGTGACTGCAAGGAATCCATACTCTTTGGTTCTTTCGGTAAAGTCACGTAGGTATAAAATGAAATACCTACGTGACTTTACCATAATAATAATCTCCTAAAGAAGCGCAACAGTTCTGTGATGTTAATCTTTGTGAACAGCCTGGGCACTTAACAGGTTAAGTTATAAACATTCACAACAGTATAATCCACATTTGTTTAATTTTCCTTTAGTTTCCGAGTAACTCGATCCGTCTCTAGTGCCATATCAATGGATGCGGCTTTAAATTTCATTTCTCACGGCTAATTCTCGTTTTCAGGCAGTGTTTGGGTACTGACGGCGTTTGAGCAGTTAGTGCGAGTGTAGCTGGCAACATATATTTCGCTAAGTTCGCCCGCCACCTGACCATGCCAGGCCACCATCCACCCCCTGCCCCTTCCATCCTCTGTTCCCCAGCTGGTGCGCGACAACGCCGATCTGCGCTGCGAGCTGCCAAAGCTTGAGAAGCGCCTGCGCGCCACAGCGGAGCGCGTCAAGGCTCTGGAGACGGCGCTCAAGGAGGCCAAGGAGAATGCCATGAAGGATCGCCGGCGCTACCAGAACGAAGTCGACCGCATCAAGGAGGCCGTGCGCAACCGCAACAACGTCCGCCGTGGACACACCCCACAGATCGGTGCGTACGTCCCACGTGCGTGGGGGAAGCAAAGTGTCATGCTTTTTTCTTCTTGGTTCTTTCGGTATAGTCACGTAGAAGGAAATAATAAAATAATAAAAATAAAACATAATAAAATAATTCTCACGATGTTTCGGCCACAACGCAAGTAGCCGTCCTCAGGTGAAGACGCTGTCTTCTCGACAGACCTGTTTCTTCACCTGAGGACGGCTACTTGCGTTGTGGCCGAAACGTCGTGAGAATTATTTTATTATGTTTTATTTTTATTATTTTATTATTTCCTTCTACGGGACTATACCGAAAGAACCAAGAAGATGAATCCCTGCAGTCACGAAAGCTTTAAATCGAAATTTGTCATACTTTTGTTTTGCTGCTGTCTTACCCGTTCGTGTCTTTTGCACTTTCACAAGTGTTTTTTTTTTCTTCCCACTCCTGCTTTGCAACTTTAAAGTTCATATTCAGAATGTGCGGTGAGTGTGCTGCAGTGTCGTATTTTTCCGCTAAGTTAGTGATGAAAATCTTCGTCATTTGTTTTATTTCGGTCACTGGCGACTGGGGTGGATCAAAATAATCGAGCTTGACGATGACTAACCACCAAAGACCGAAGCGTGACTATGAAGAGACGAATTTAACTGGTCGGAATGAAGGGTGTGGAATGCACATCATGGTAGTGGTGGGGGAAAGGGGGTGGGTTGGTGGGAGGTTGGGGGAGGAACCAACGCATCATGGACCAACCGATGGGACAACTAGAGGTGCAGTGCCTAGAATAAACTACTTCAGTTCTATATTTGCAGAGAAGAGATTACATTTGAATAACAGTGGTTATAACATATTTTTACTGTCCATTGAAAAAAATATTGGCTTATTTATATATTTTATATTACAAAGAAGCATACTGTGTGCTTTCGGTTTGACAAAAATAGGAAATTTGGCGAATGGAAAGTCTATTTTAACCTGTTTTCATAACCTCAAATAGCTGCATTATGCTCTTGCCCTCCTACGACAAATAAGTTGCACTTTGTATCTGTAACAATGTTGAACGTCACCCATTTTTGAAGTTATGATATTGTGATGGTTTTAAATTAAGATAAGAAGGAATAGGATGCTATGAACTGAAGGAATATACAACGAGAGTAAGGAAACTCAGTTATAAGTGCACACGGGGTAATTCTGCAGAAGGTAAATTAAACAATAAATTAACTCTTTAATTGTATAACTGACCTTGACACTTTCGGGACTTAAACTTGACCATACTAACTCATCCAACATTTAATATCTCAGAGTGGATTCCATTTTTATTGCTTTCTGTGATGATTCTAATTTACATCCACAGACCAAGACTTGACTAAAGTTCTGCATTTTGTTGTTGTTCAGCCTAAGACTTTAAAAATAAAACTAATTCCAGGAGGGTGTGAAGGGGGGGACAGAGTGGTCTTTGATTGTGGAGGTGCCATACCAAACCAGGTTGAGAACCATTGGCAATGCTGACTGCCACAACACTGCTGGTCTGTGAACCCGTGTGGTGTTTAGTAACGGTCTGTGGTTCTTTCAGCCAAGCCAATCCGCCCTGGGCAGCAGTCGGTGTCATCTCCGACCCACCAGACAGCCATCCGGGGAGGTGGAGGGCCTGCCTTTCCTATTAATCAGCCCGTGGGTATCCGAGGAGGTGGACAGTCTTCTGCCCGTCAGGAGAATGCATAAGTATGTCACTCATCTCTTCTGTATTTTGTTTCTTGTAGCCTAATAATAACCTAGGTGGACCAACTCCTGCTGCTTCTCAAGACTTGCTTATATAGTGAGGCATCCTGGTGGCAACAAATTATAGAGAGGCTTAAATAACTCTTACACATATTTACGTGCACCATCCCTCACAATCTCAACTTTGAATATAACCCAGCATTTTAGACAATTACCTACAAACCACCAATGCAATTAAAGCTGCTGTAATGGTGTATTCCACATGGTAGTAATGTTTTGTCATGCGTGTTGTCTAATATGTATGCTTTGTGCGTGTTTCTATTGTTGTGCAGTGTGTTCCCAAGGAAGTGCTACTGAATATTTGGAGCTTGAAAAGCTGTATGCATTGAGACTACACTACCATTCCTCGGGAGTTTAGGGCAGATGTGTTTTTCAACTCTGAAGTGTGCCTGTTTATTTTGTTATATTGGTTATAGCGCGCCAATTATGTGCCCAAACTCAACAGGTATCATTTGGCTCAGTCCAGTTAATCTTTGTAAAATAGTCCCCCCCCCCGGCTCTGTAGCCAAGATACTTTCTTGTCAATGAACTGAGTTTCTGGATTTTTCAACGGTTGTTCTCCTGTGCGTGGTTTATTTTGAAATTGTCTTTCATTTGTATAGATTTTCCTCATGTTTTCTTTTTGTTTTGGTTTGTGAATGTGTGGAAGTTTGTGGAAACATATGATGCTTTAAACTCACTCTTTTTGTCTCCTAAATGGCATATTTTGGGATTGGCTAAGCTCACTGTTGCTGTATAGCATGCAGGCTGCATTTTAAAGCACATTATACATACACTATCGCCACTATTAATTAAACTCGTTTAAACGATTATAATGTAATACTTAATTCTTAATGTATGTGTTAATTCCCTCAGTTGTAAAGGTGCAAACTTGAAACGGGCCATTTAAAATGACTAAAGAAACAACATCACTTAATACATGATGGTTACTATATAAGCTAAATATAGTACATTTAATGTGTATATGCGTATATTTATAATTACAAACACGAATGCTTTACATTTTGTCAATTAAAACAACAAAGTGCAACAAGATCTGCTCTTTGGTGACCTGCATTTAAATCACTTTAAATAAATTCCTAACCAATGGTTATGTCTTTCATACAATAACAATAATTAAAATAACGGGTTTTTATACCATGCCTAGACAGGAAGATATATCCACGTTTTGGTTGACCGGCTGTCTTGGGGAAAATATTGAGTTTTACAGAGAGGCTTTATCTTGGTAGGAGAAGTTTGGTCCGGGGTGGTGGGCATCAGATAAGACGCACTGGGGTCCGATGACTCATCAGCATTGATTGTTTTGGTATGCATTCAAGAAGTTAATATGCAGATTGACTGATTTGTAATGTGTCTTCACTTTGGACATCCTTGTCGTGGGCCAAATGTGATTGTTTAAACAGAATTAGTAATCTTTTAAAGACCACAAAGCCTGCATTGCAAGTATACCCTGTGTTCCTACGTGCTTGCCATGGGGCTGTGGAATGCTAATTATTGAAATGTTTTTCGGATAAGTATACTTACATGGGTCATGAAACCACACACATGTTTGACAGCAGCACGTGTTTAACACCCATGCATGGATTGATTATTGTTTTACACAAAACCTCTGTTCTTCTTTAAAGCCATAAACTATTCAGCTAGCGGAGGTCCAGTCTTGCATTGAGATCCCAATGCGTTTAGTTTCCGAGCCTCAATGAGTCTTGCCTCCTCTGTATTCAGTCACTTCCGTCTGCCAAGCCACATAGTAACTTATAGAATACGTTTTAATAAAAATTCACCCCACTGAGTACCGTTTGATACCAGTCAACCTTGCCTAACAAAATTAAGACTTCAAGCCTCATTCCTGAAGAAGGCACATTGGGTAGCATGTCAATATTTTCCTGTGACGGTGTTAAAAGCTGTTATTTTTATTTAGTGTTATATGTATAAGTTTACTGAAGAAGCAACGTCAACCTATGTATTCATGCTCGTATATTGCTCTTGTTTCAGATGCAGCCATTGGCTGCTCGCCCAGATGTGTATCACTGAGCTTTAGCATTTTTATCACCCCTAAGATAATAGAATGAACTAACTGGCACATACGGGTGGCATTTTAGCTTTCTCTACTCTTTGTGGTTCTCAAAAACATGATTTGCACCCTTTTCTCAATGATATATGTTCATGAAAACCTATCAACATCCTCTTCTAGTGTGCGTTGTGTAATTGACATCTGAGTGGACATTTCATAAGCATGGAAAACTTGCAACGACACAAGGAATGACACTTGAGAACTACTGAAGTTGCATAAAACCTCTTGTTAATATTTGTATAAATATGGGAAACGGTGTGAATCTTGATGTGTGATACGATTATTTCTCATGCTAACCTGTGCAGGTGCAAAGGTACTCATTCTGCTGCCAAATTTGGTTCATTACTCAACACTCCACTCGCTCTCCTGAACATGTGTACGCAAAGACATGTTTAGTTTGTCACTGACAATTTTACAAACCTATTTGGGCTGGAAATTGTTGAAGTTGGATTGCACATGGCTGCACTTGCTAATGTCGCAGTTGTGTTCTATTTTCCATGACCCAATTTCTGAAGCGACACCTGCAAGTCTTGGGAGTTGTTGCCCCATGGCCAGGCATCGACGTACGTGCTGATGACTGTCTGTTATCCACTTGGTGGCCCCCAGTCATGTTCTACATCAATAGATTGGTCAAGAGCTGTGTGTGGAACAGGATGATTGTAGATGATGGCTTAAGTGTGCCTGCGTTTTGGCAAATTTATATTTCTGTAACCCATCGTGGCTTATGTTGATTTACAGTATGCGTTATGAAGCAGCAAGGTGTGCCAATAGCACTAGGTCTTAATAATACACTTATTTCAGAGTGAAACATACCATTTTGGCTTGTGCATGCTTTTGTTTATTATGATGCGTTTAACTTTACACTTTTTGGTTTGCTAATTTAGTCACTGAAATTCAAGCTACTCGTTAACAATAAAGTACTTTTCTGGCCAGTAGTGCCAATTCATGATGTAACGGATCCCATCGGAATGGTTTGCAGTGACTGAAGACGATGTCTCGTTCCCCATGTTAATGAGTTTGTGTACATTTCATTTGTTTAGTATTTTTGAGATGAAGTATATATGTTAAGATTAAGAAAACAATTTCTTTCGAATCCGGTTAAAGGTTTCACTCTTGACATGTCACGGGGTTTTCATGTTGATCAGTTGGTAAGACGAGGGTTGCACAACCATGTAGGCCACCTGGAATAATTGAAAACGTATCGGGCGGTGTGCACTTGCGAACTCTTCCCAGAGCAAGATTGTGGGTCAAAACACTCCTGTGTAACTGCATTATTGAAAATCTGACAATCCGTATGCCTGCCATAGAGATCATTACGATGATTTACATTGCGTGGCCTGTTGGACGATGCATGTGCTCGGAATGAAAGTGCTCTGAACATGCCTCCATGCGACTGCTGACAGCTGTAAACACTTGCGTTTCTGGAACTTGAATAAAGGTGATCGATAGATGATTTTGTGGCTTACTTTTCTCTCCCACTGTGTTAAGGGTTACCAAGTCAGTTTCGTCCTCGGTCAAATGGATGGGGCAGTACACACTCCCTTCAGTTGTAGGTGGAAATTCCACATTCCTTTATTGTGGACCAGAGTGATGCCGTTGATCAGTGATTCAAATCTCGGTTTATTTTGCATAGAACTTGTTTATAAAAAAAAAATTGAATCCAATTAAACAGGGAACTGCATAAATACTGGACAATTTGCTTGTACTTGTGTGTTGTCATTGAATTCATAAGCAAACAAACTCGTCCCATGATCAAATCACGCGCACCAATATATTATTAAGATGTGTGGAGCTCAGCAGTAGTTGATCGTGGACAAGTGATTGGTGACCACCATGTGTCACAGGTGTTATCGACTCGGAGCCTCGAGGTGGGCAGCAGAGGGCAGTGCAGCAAAACCAAATGAGGCTTTGGTCAAATTCCCACCCACGGCGTGGAGGGGAGCCATCATCCAGCAGTGAAATGACCCAATTGCTAAAAATGTGAGATGTGTAAAATGACGTCATGGCACGATAGCCACTGCCATCGCCGTGCAGTCAGTTGAGTAAGTGACGTCATGCCAGTCGTATATAGATTACGTGACGTCAAATCCCGCGTTTCCAAGTTGCGTGTAGCCGGCTCCAGTGGAAGAGTCCCCTGCACCCACCGCTCATGACGTCACCGCCTTTTTTTCTATCGTGTCGCTGTAACCTTTGCGATGACGTCATCGGCGTCTGTCTGTTACATTTTAATGACGTAAAACCTGCCGTTGTATCGTTCACGATGACGTCATCGGCGTGTGTGTTACATCTAAATGACGTAAAACCTGCCGTTGTATCGTTCGCGATGACGTCATCGGCGTGTGTGTTACATCTTAATGACGTAAACCTGCCGCTGTATCGTTCGCGATGACGTCATCGGCGTGTCTGTTACATCTTAATGACGTAAACCTGCCGCTGTATCGTTCGCGATGACGTCATCGGCGTGTGTGTAACATCTTAATGACGTAAACCTGCCGTTGTATCGTTCGCGATGACGTCATCGACCGGCCTTTGAAGTTCGAAACCGGGTTCGCTCCCAGGTGCTCTGTGCGTGTTGACGCCTCTCGCTCTGTGCGTGTGTCCGTGTGAGGGGGGGCACGGTAGGGGGCACTGGGGGTTCATCGGCCAGTCAACGCAGACAGACGACCCATGGGTGCACCCACGCAAGCGGGCGTTCGACGCTTCACGTGGCCTCAACGTGCACGCAGCCTGGCACAAGCGCCGTGGTTTAGTGGCGAATGGCGGTGGTTGTCGTGTTCAACACCGGCGCGGCTTTCTCTGTTACGTGTGTGTCGGAGTCGGTGTGGTGTGGGGGGGGCGAACATCTGGGCCTTCCTCCTCAGGTTGATTCGGCCTCAAGCGAGTGCCTTGCCGCTTGTAGCGTCGTGGGGAAGACAAAGGCGGCCGGGCGTGATGCCGGCCACCCCCTTCCCTCGTGTACCGTGCCGGCCTTCACAGGTTACCGATCGCTCACGACAGCACTTGGCTTCCGCCGACAACGGGGATGGCGGGGGTGGTGGTAATCGTTGTGTTTGTTTGTGTTGTTGACCTCTTGTTTGTGTTGTTGACCTCTTGTTTGTGTTGACCTCTTGTTTGTGTTGACCTCTTGTTTGTGTTGACCTCTTGTTTGTGTTGTTGACCTCTTGTTTGTGTTGACCTCTTGTTTGTGTTGACCTCTTGTTTGTGTTGACCTCTTGTTTGTGTTGTTGACCTCTTGTTTGTGTGTTGACCTCTTGTTTGTGTTGTTGACCTCTTGTTTGTGTTGTTGACCTCTTGTTTGTGTTGACCTCTTGTTTGTGTTGACCTCTTGTTTGTGTTGACCTCTTGTTTGTGTTGACCTCTTGTTTGTGTTGTTGACCTCTTGTTTGTGTTGTTGACCTCTTGTTTGTGTTGACCTCTTGTTTGTGTTGTTGACCTCTTGTTTGTGTTGTTGACCTCTTGTTTGTGTTGTTGACCTCTTGTTTGTGTTGTTGACCTCTTGTTTGTGTTGACCTCTTGTTTGTGTTGTTGACCTCTTGTTTGTGTTGTTGACCTCTTGTTTGTGTTGACCTCTTGTTTGTGTTGACCTCTTGTTTGTGTTGTTGACCTCTTGTTTGTGTTGTTGACCTCTTGTTTGTGTTGACCTCTTGTTTGTGTTGTTGACCTCTTGTTTGTGTTGACCTCTTGTTTGTGTTGACCTCTTGTTTGTGTTGACCTCTTGTTTGTGTTGACCTCTTGTTTGTGTTGTTGACCTCTTGTTTGTGTTGTTGACCTCTTGTTTGTGTTGTTGACCTCTTGTTTGTGTTGACCTCTTGTTTGTGTTGACCTCTTGTTGTGTTGACCTCTTGTTGTGTTGACCTCTTGTTTGTGTTGTTGACCTCTTGTTTGTGTTGTTGACCTCTTGTTTGTGTTGTTGACCTCTTGTTTGTGTTGTTGACCTCTTGTTTGTGTTGTTGACCTCTTGTTTGTGTTGTTGACCTCTTGTCTTTGTCAGATTGGTCAAAACTTCCTTCGCGCCGTACGTAGCCAACACCTTCCCCCTGCCGCTGTTGTTGTTGTTGTTTGCTAGGAGCCATGCGCTGGCTGCTGGCCGCGGGGCTGCTGGCCGCGTGCGCCGCGGGGCTCGGGGCCGAGGCCGCCGCCGAGGAGGAGGAGGATGAGGGCGGCGCGGCTCTCGCGTTCACTGCCGGGGGCGCCGCCGCTCAGCCCGTGCCGGTGGCGCGGGCTCGCAGGTTAACGCGTTACCCAGCGCCGTTACCCAGCGCCGTTACCTACCACCGTTACCTAGCGCCGTTACTTATTACGTTGCTATCACACGTCATCTGTCACGTTACCACCGCTTTATCTATCTCATTACCACCACGTTACTACCACGTTACCTATCACAGTTACCACGTTACCACCTCGTTACCTACCACGTTACCACCCCGTTACCTAGCACCGTTACTTACTGCGTTACCACGTTATCTATCACAGTTACCACGTTACCCACTACGTTACCCACCACGTTACCTACCACGTTACCACCACGTTACCACCACGTTACCCACCACGTTACTGCGGCACACTATGGGCCCTGTACTCCAGTTGCGCAGGGCCTGCAGAGGTCTACTCCAAGTTACCACGTCGTCCTGTTGCTGCGTTACCCTATGAACTCCGCTCCCCACTAACTTGTGAGTGTCCTCATCCCGCCTGCAGCTACCCTCGTTACCCCACGAACCTTGACGCATTCTCAGATAATCTGCAGCTACGGTAACGGTTACTCCGTTACCTTGTTATCTCTGTACCCTGTGAGCCCTACACCTCACTGACTCTGGGCCCATAGGTCTCGACGTTAATGCGTTACCTCCTTACCCCGTGAAGTCGACACCCCTCTACTTGTTATCCCGTTACCTTGTTACCATGTTACCCCATTAACCATAACCCACGAAACCATAGCCCACTAAACCTGGAAACGTCTCCATTATGAACCAATTTGGGTATATCTCCATTATGATGCGTTTTAACGGTGTTGTGAAGATGTGATATGCCCCAAAGTGTATGCATTTTTACTCCATACTTGCTCTTGGTTTGCTGGAGTATTGTAATTTGGGAACCTGTCAACTAAAATCGGTGTAAGGCCTTTTATCAGATGAACTGGTTCACGTACATGGTAACTTTCACAACCGTAGGATGCAGTATGGTTTATAGTATTTCAAAGTGAAACTTGATTAGCCAAATTAAATTTCCTGTCCTGCATTCGAGAAAAAGCATGCAGAATATGATATAGTTAGTTTCTTCCGCACTGTGTTGCCAATCACACATAAAACAAACAAAATTGGATTACACATTGCACGAAGTTGCAGGAAAATAATGTCTTGTCCTTTAATTTTTAAATGTACTTTAATGGCATTATTATTCAGTGGCAGGGACATATTGTAGAACATTTGTGCTAGCTTTGCCTTGGCTGTGCAGCCAAAAAAACAATCCTGATAATGTCATTAATGGGTGTTTGCAGTGGTTTACATATCAACAGGGTGATCCTGCAGAGAGACTGGCCTCTGCCATGGGAAACCAAAATATCCGCCACCGAAGGATGCACACCACACCATCGTTTGAGCATGAAGACAAGTCAGACTTGGCGCCACGAATATTCGTGTAAGTCATTCGACAGCCATGAAAACTAAAGCCGCGAATGTCCCCCGAACGCGCAGGTATCTTCTGTACGACGTGAACCCTGGCGAGGGCTTCAACCTCCGGCGGGACGTGTACATGCGTGTGGCGACACTTCTGCAAAAGCTGGGTAAGGCCGAGCCGTGGGTTCTGGTGCTGCCGCCGTGGGGCCGCATGTACCACTGGCAGAGCCGCTCGCTCAGTCAGCAGCAGCAGCAGCGCATCCCCTGGTCCGCCTTCTTCAACACGCCCAGCCTGGCCGCCTACGTACCGGTCATCGAATACGAGGAGTACCTCAAAGGTCAGCGATCGGTCACGCCAGCACCGAAGGCTTCTGTAACCGTCATGCTTTGAATCGTGTTACGTGCTCAATATGTTTTGACAGTTGGATGGCCTGGAGGATGTTCCACTCCAGGTTGTACAGAGTCTGTGTGGCTTGAATCTAGCATCTGACTGGTAAATTGCAACAGTCATTCATAAATGATCAAATTCTACAGTCTCAGTGATTGACTAAAAACTGCAAAATGATCGAATTGCATACAATACAATTTTTAAAAGATTTTTGGTTATACGTGGGTGATAGCGTCAATACTTTATCAAGTCAAAACTTTATCAAGGATGTAAATTTGTTACATATAATAATCTGTTTTTATTATGGAATAGGCACTTGGGATTCAAGCAGTTTGCTGGTGTTTGAGCAGTAAGTTTTAGCTCATTAAACATTGCCTGATTTATTATCTCTAGGTTATTCTGAGTCATTATCTCTAGGTGATTCTGACCTTTTATCACTTTTTTTTCCCCG